CCTACTCGGAAGCATATAATATCACTAAATTTGGGGGAAAATGTATAGTTTCTTGAAGTTAGACAATGAGCACAAGAGGAGTATGAATCTTTATGGTGTGTGTGTGTGTGTGTGTGTGTGTGTGTGTGTGTGTGTGTGTGTGTGATAGAACACATGTTATGTGAAAGCAGGAGGGGACCAGTGGAGGAAGGGAAGGACCCAGCCAGAGGGGGACAGAGGATGGGGAGAGGACTAGAAGAGATGGATCAAGGAAAACAAAATAGGTATGAAAATGCCATAATGAAACTCATTACTCTGTATGCTGATTTTAAAAAAAAACCAGAAGGAAGGAGGGCAAGCTTTGAAGAGCAAAATGTGAGTGTGAATGTCATACAGTGTATTTTTACTGGAGGCAGTTGCTAAGTGTTTGTGAAAAGTTAGTTCAGGGCTGGAGGATGGGTCAGTGGGCAAATCATACAATCATGACAACCAGGGGACCAAGCCCCAGAACCCACATAAAAACCAGATGCAGTAGCACAATGTCTGTAATCTCAGTCTATCTATTCTAGGAGATGGAAAATGGAAACATGGGAGAAGTAGCCAAAGCTAAGGGACCAGAATTAGCCTGGCTAATTGAGACCCTGTCTCAAGGTGGAAAGTGAGGACTGATATCCATGGTTGTCTTCTGGCCTTCCTGTACATGCTGAACTATGCATGTGCCCTCATACACTGTCTCTCATACCTCACACACACATTCATAAACACACACACACACACACACACACACACACACACACACACATACACACACATACACACCACACATGGGGGGGATTGCTTTGCTGGGACCTCACATCTAGTTATAGTTTTCAATATATTTTTCTTTCCTTGAGAAACCCAGATGAATTCAACAAATATAACAACAATAACTAAAACAATCCTATTCAAAAATAACCAAAAGACTTGAATAGACATTTCACCAAAGAAGCACATAAGAAGAGTCTAGATCATTCCTTAGAGAGCACACATCAAAAACACAAGGTATTACTATCACTTCTGTTAGGAAGACTGTCCTCAAGAGCCAGAAGAACACAGTCAGTTTCAGGGGGGTGAGGCAATAGAATCACTTGACACCAGAGAGTCAGTGATAGCCTGGGCAATGGGAGTGCCTGTCTCCAAAACAAACAGAAATCATAAACATTGGTGAGGATGTGGAGAAACTGCAAGCTCTGTGTGCTGTTGGTAGGTGTGTAAAAATAACACAGTAGTTGTAGACAGTAGTATGGCAGTTTCTCAAAAGTTAAAATTCTGTTAACCATATGGTTCAGCAATTCTGCCTTTAGCTATGTACCAATTAAAGACAGCATCTTAAGGAAGTATCTGTACACTTGTGTTTCTAGCAGAACTATCCACAATAGCCCAAAGGTAGAAGCAACCAAAGTGTCCACAATGTAGTGAATGCTATGCCTAAAACAGTCCAATTGACAGAGACCAAGAGCAGGATGGTGTCAGGGGTAAGGAAAGAGAGAATGTTTAGTGAAGAGTTTGGGTTTTATACAATGAAGGAGTTCTATGGAATAGATGGTGGTGATTGTTGCACAATGATGTGAAAACAGTTAAGAACACAGAAATGGTTATTTCTCAGAGATGGTAAACATGGTATTTAAGTTTGCACAATTATGTGTTTCACCATAATATTTTAAAACCATGGGTATTAAAATATACCCAACCATGATCCCTTAAAACTATAATAAAAACCTATATAGCAAGATATAGCCATGGATGAAACAGTGGCATGATTGTTATGGAGGTAAACCTCCAGTTTCCAATTGGGTTTCAAGCATGCTCTACAGGAAGAAATGCATGCCTAGCATCTGACCAAGAATCCATGGCTGGGGAGCTCATCAGCCACAGAGGTAAACCTACTACTATTTATTATCTTGTTAAGTTGACTCAGTATCATATTGCCCTCCAAACTTCTATATCCACACCCATGGAGTATTGTAGCTCTCAGACCCCATCAGAGAAGTTTCTTTGTTCAGGAAATAGTCATTAACACAGAAACTGAGAACTAGTCGAAGTACAGAGATTAAGTATCTGAGTAGTGCTCAGCCACAAATGGTACATCTGTATCACAGTGCTCCCACACGGATTGGGGCCTATCATGGAAGAGGGTGTGGAGAGATTATAAAAGCCAGAGGTCAGGGAGAAGCAGATGGAAATAGTGTCTTCTGGAGATGACAGGACCACTGCATTCATGAACTCCCAGCAGCTGTAGTTGACTACACAAGACCTGTGCAAGAAAAAAAAAAAAAAAAAAAAAAACCCAGTGTCTTGGAAAAAAAAAAAAAAAAAAAAAAAAAACCCAGTCTATATTCTACAGTAGAGTGTGGAGGGACTCCGAAACGCCTTCCCTAGTGAGGATCTATTGAGAATGATGGCTGCTATGGAAGGAAGCGTGAGTTTCCTTCTTGGCTATGGTCCCCTGGTAGGTGGGCCATGATCCAGTGAGTGGCTCCACCCCATGAGTATGTGGGTAACACAAAACAGACTCAGTGTTTGTAATGAAAAAAAGAAGGCATGAATTTGGAAGGAGTGGGAGGGGGTGTGGGGGGGATATGGGAAGACTCCAGGGGGAGTGGAAGGAAATATGATCAAAACACACTGTATGCATATATGAAATTCTCAAAGAATTAATAAAATAGTGCATTTAAAAACATATAATAGGAGAGCTAGACAGATAGCTGAGAAGTTAAGAGCACTGGCTGTTCTTCTGGAGGACCCTGGTTCAATTCACCCACATTGCAGCTCACAAATGTCTGTAACTCCAGTCACTGGGGATCCAGTGCCCTCTTCTGGCCTTTGTGGGCACCAGATACCCACATGGTACACAGACATACAGGCAGGCAAAACACCCATACACATAGAAATAAATTAATTAAATTTGAAAACCACATATATAATGAAAACAAACAAAAAAACACAGGATGGGTGAGTGGGTTTATCCTGTGAGAAGCCCGGGCATTGGAGGAACAAAAGGAAAAGAAAGGAGGGAAGTCAAAAGAGGAACGTCATCTTGGCTTCATAAAGAACTAATTATAAAAATATTGTGTTATTTTTTTTTTTTAACAGAGTCACTTTTCTCTCAAGAAGGGAGCTGCAGCCTTAGGAATCGGGACAGACAGCGTGATTCTGATTAAATGTGATGAGAGGTGAGTGACGAATCTGCAACCCTGTCAGTTAACAATTTAAAACCCCCCACGGTAGGTACCTCTTTGAAAGAGGTGATGACTTTGGGCAGCAATCCTGCTTCAATCTAAGACACAGCCACACACTGCTTCTTTGGAGCACAGACTTGCTTGGAGTCTCCAGATGTTGTTCCTTGAAACCACGGGGCTTTTCACAACTCCTGGATAAATTGGAACCTTTGTTAAATCAATCAGAGCTGTCCTCAGTAGCCGGTGTAGAGGGGCATTTATCACCTGAGCACATTAGCAACGGGCGATTGAAGCAGTGATTGATGCTGAGGCAGCACTAAGCAGCGTGGATTATGTAAACTTGCTGAAGTAAATGATGCCCCATCAGCTCAACAGCTTTGGGCAAAGAATCCTCTTGGAGAAAGTCTGTCTTAATTGACACCCAGAATTCACAGCTTTCTAGAAAATAGGTATGATACTACTGTGGGGAGAGCAGCGAAAATCATCTTTAGCCTATCCATGTAAAATTCCATTGACTGATAAATCTGGAAGTTATGAAAAACCAGATTCCAGTCTTTAAAGGATTGAGTAAGAACTCTCACGAAATTAAAATAAAATAGGTCAGTGAGCCGTTTATCAGCCCAAAGGTGTTTATTGGACAGCTGGGCTCTGACTGCCCTCCCTGTCACCATGCTCCAGAAAAGCTCAGATTGTCTTCTCAGTACTCCGACAGCAGAGGATGTAAGTGGGAAGGTGCTGTAGATTAAAAGGTGACTGTTACATGGTTGGAGTTTCAGTGTAGGGTATACTGTGTGTGTTCCTGGGGTAAGTAAAACTCAGTGAAGCATGTGGGAAGAAGCTGGAGTTTTCCAGTTGAGGGAGTGTTAGACGGGTGGAGGAAAAGTCAGGGACAATTGCAGAAGACAGAATAATACCTGAGGTCCAGCTGCAGAGGAAGTAGGATGGAACATATGATGAGGCACAAGGAGTGAGCCTGATCAGAGAAGGGAGAAACAAATTCGTGGCAAATATGTTTGCCCGCGTGGATGTGGAAAGGTCTAAAAACCCAAAAAGACAGCTGCATTGACCTGTAAGTGGTGAGATTAATGGTTGTCACCTTATTTATTATCTGATTTTGTTTATTTGCAATGAACACCTTGCTTTTATAACGGGGGAGGGGCAGCCACAGTAGTGCTTGGCTGTAACCCCCTCAACTCAGGAGGGTTCAGCTTCCAGACAATTGGGCTACACATAAAGACCTAATTTTCAACAAATGAGGAAGAGAGAGAGAAAAATGGAGATGGAAATAGAAAGAGGGAGAGAGAGAGAGACAGAGAGACAGAGACAGAGAAACAGAGAGAGGAGAGAAATGTATGCGCTATTTTTCCTTTGAGTGGGAGAGCTGAACCTATCTCTGACCTGGATAGATCAACAAATAAGGCAACTTGAAAACGCTTTTCTCCAAACATGAAGCAGCTGAAACCACCCTTCAGGAAGCAAGGGAGGGCTAGGAAAGGGGCTCCAGTAAGAAGGCAGACAGGAAGTGATAAAGGCTTGCAGGCCTGCAAACACATCTCGATAGAGGACCTGTCTCGTATTCCTTATTGTGAGGTGCATAAGAACTAAGATTTGAGGAGTAATAGACAAAAACAAAGCATCAGCTTCCTATTTATTTTCTTTATTGTATTGCTAGAATAAATTGCTGAAGGTAAATGTATTTCTAAATAGAAAGCAATAGAATATATGGAGTTAAATTTAAAGTTTTTATGAATATGCAGCTAATCTAAGTAAGAAACCAAGAATTACAAAAGATCACCCAGGCAGACCTGGCCCTCTGGCCTACTTAGTCACCAGCCTAGTTAACAGATGTCCCAACATGGAATCCCAGGGGGATGGCAGGTGACCCATGAAAGTGTGGAGAGCTCTTGGCTCCACACATTAAGGCATCAGTATTGCTGCTCCTGCTCCACTGATAATCAGGTGTAACCATGGAAGTGGCCTTAAGTGGGATACCCACAGCAAGGGTGCAGTCACATAACAGGGCATTAATCAGAGACAGTGCCATGCTCAGAAGGGAAGGGTAAGCCTAAAAGAAGACAGAGCAAGAACAGAAAGAGGACCACAGACAGGTCTGCCAGCACAGAGGCCCCAAAGGGTGTCATTAGCTAGCAAGAAGCAGAGAAAAGCACAGGGAGAGGGGAATGCTGGGAAGGAACTCCAGAGAGATGCAGAATCACTAACAGGCCAGTCATCCTTAATTTTGAAGTTAATTTTTTTTTTTAAAATTTCAACTATTTTAGAAGCCATTTGAGAGACTGAATGTAATGAGTCTTTTTCTGTACTGCAGCCAGCTCCCAAATAATGACATGAAGATTTTTTTATTAATTATGAAAGCTCAGCCTATCTCTTAGGCTTGTTCCTAACTAACTCTTATACTTAAATTAATCCATTTCTGTTCATCTACGTTTTACCATGTGGCTTTTTACCTTTCTTTCATTCTGTGTGTCTGACTCCCTCCACATCTTGTTGGCATCTCCCCTGTGCCTCCTACTTCCTCTCTCTGCCTGGAAGTCCCATCTATACCGCCTGCCTAGCTATTGGTCATTGAGCTCTTTATTACACCAATCATAGCACTATATCTTCACACAGTGTAAATCCCACAACAACTGAATAGTGATGTGTGGTTTTTCCTGAAAAGGCTTCACTGCTAGATGCCCTTCCTCACGTCTGTGCCCTCGGAAGCACTGAGGGCGAGGAGCCATCAGACAATGAGGACCTGGAGCCTTTTCTCCTTCTGCTCATGAGCCTTGTGGAAGGAGAGCAGGCTGGGGAGGTGGGGGAAGGGGGACAACATGAAAAAGGAGCCAACAGATTCCCTGACTCTTTAGGAAAGAGAAAACAGATAAGAAACAGGTGAATAAAGAAAGCCTTGGGGGCGGGGGATTGTGAAGTGGGAAGTAAGGAGGAAAATGTAGAGAAAAACTCGGGGCGGGGGACATAGGAAACAGCACAAAATTCCAAAAGGATACATTATAATTGTACCACCAAAAGCAGTACTTGATTGCTTTATTAAATGAGGAAAATAATACGGATTTTTTTCCACCTGAAAATCTTTACAAATACTGTGAAGCAATTATTATCTAAACTGTGGGAGTTTCTTTTCTAAGTATTTAAGTTGTCTCTCTCTCTCTCCTTCTTTCTCTCTCTCTCTCTCTCTTTCTTTCTGTTTTCCTTTTATTATTCCCCTTCTCTTTATCTATGTGTGATCACATTTTCTTTTTCTAACTAGATATGATAATGTAAATATTTTCCCATGTTACTGAAGCACACATACACCATAACATGTAATATCAGAAAGCACTGTAGTAAATCCACAGAGCTGGCAATGGAGCTTGGCTCTTTGACTCCAAATCTCAGTTCAAGTGCTAGCTCAGCCAAGAGCTGCTCTGTGCTTCAGTTTCTTCATCTGGAACAAAAGAAGAAAGAAATGATGCCTGCTTCGTATAACAAATACAACCCCCCCCCAAAAAAAAAACGCATCCTGAATGAGATTAGCACAAATCTATACCTGCTGGTGTGCATCTGTTTCTGATATTACTACTAGAAACCATTTTTCTATTCTTTAGTGAACACCCTGTGCCTGGGACTCCTCCATGCAGTGCTGACTTAAATCATAATGGATGGCTTATAAAAAGGAGTGCACAGCACCAGAGTGCTAATCAAAGCCGTCACTAACACACTGTCTCAGCAGCATCATGTCAGAGTAGGCTGAGAAAAAGGTAGTAACTGCACAAAGTCGTTAATGTTGCCTTCATAATTAGGGTAATCTTTTAGCATACATTTAAGAATGCGGTCCCAGATCTAATGACTTCAGTGAAATCAAAGTGCTGTGGTCAGAAGCCGAGGAGGCGGCCTTGGACAGGCAGAACTCCAGTTTAGAAAACCACTGAGGGGTGGCAAAGGGAGGCTCTGGTGTGCTTCCTGAGCTCATCCAGGCTTCCCAAAATGGAAACCTGGACCTGCTCTCTAAACTCTGTTGGCCTGCCCATCTTCCCCTCTTCCTCCCTCCCTCCCTAATTAGCACAGAAATTAATGGGTCTTGTTATGGCATTTTGCTGCATACTTTCTATTAATCATCCTGCTCCAGACCCCCTCAGCCCTCCTCCTGCTCTTCTCTGGCTCTGAGTGGTCCCCTCTGCCTTCATGTCACATGTATTTACTTCTGTCCCCTTCCCACTTAAGACCTCCTTTTCCATTCTATTTTTTAGTTTATGAACTATACTCATACCCTTCCACAATATAAAAATTAAAACATAGCATCTGCACATGAGAGAAAACACTGGGCAAGTGGCTCCTTGTGCCTCAGTTTTTTTATCTCATTCCCTGGATCTGTTCGTTCCAAGTGCCATTGGTCTAATGGTGGCTGGGGTGATAAGCTTGCTCTTATTTTTCTGTAAAATGTTCACAAATGGAGAGGAATGTTCTAGTAAAGGAAATCAGAGTGCAGCTTCAGAAGGACAGACACACAGACACATGTGGAGGAAGATCCCCACAGCTATCCTCCTTTGGCACTTACAGGAACTGACTTTGGTGGTGTGTTTAGAGTAAAACTCAGTCCTTAGTTGAAACCATAAACAAGAGATGCCACATGTTTAAGTTTTCATTTGATTGGACTGTGTTCTCTTGAGTTGAAAATCAAAAACCCTTCTAAGTTCATATATCCTCTCTTAGTTAGGGTTTCTGTTGCTGTGAGGAGACACCATGACACAGCAACTCTCATAAAGAAAAACATTTAATTGGGACTCGCTTACAGTTTCAGAGGTTTAGTCCATTATTGTCATGGTGGGAAGCAGGCAGACATGGTTGTAGAGAAGGAGCTGAGAGTTCTACATCTGAACGAAATGGCAGCAGGAAAAATGAGTGACACTGGGCCTTGCTTGAGCTTCTGAGACCTCAAAGCCTGCCCCCCCCAACACACTTCCTCCAGCAAGGCCACACCTCCTAACAGTGCCACC